TCATTACTTGTATTCTATAGACAGCTGAAACGTTAGATGTATCCATCTCAATCTATTTTTGAAATGCATTCCTCAAAAATAAATTTGTACAGACTAACTCGGCTACCCCTCTGAAGCACCTCAAAAATAGTCAAACACATCAAGCACCAGTTCTCCAACAACTATGGACACATCTCTTGGAAAATCTGGGTTATAACCAAATATTATACATAGGACTACTAGCACTGCCTATTAAGGTTACCCAACTACTTCCCATTATAAGACCCTGTTTTCAATTGATAGTAACTCGGTTAAACTTTAACCCTTCGGGTTGAAGTCTTCAATATCAAGCAGGTGACTGCCTCAAGACAGCCATTATTCCAAAATAACCATGCGAACATCTACACAGCAATTCTGTTATTTCAAAATAATTTTGAAATAACGGATGGCTTATTCCGACTTCTGTAAACCTCATTCTATGAAGAATAACACCTGTTCCGAAATAGCTATTTTGAAATAAGGTGTGTGTAGATGCTCCACTTCTGCTATTTCAAAATAGCCCCTCACCAGGGCCATTCTAAGTTATTCTGCCTGGGACTTTAAATTGAGATAGCACGTCTACATTAGGGAAGCTTGCCTCTGATTCATTTTGAGGCTTCCTTGCAGTGTAGACGTACTATTCCTAAATAAAATATTTCAGAAAAACTATTCTGGAATAGCTTATTCTGAAATAACTGAGCAGTCTAGACATAGCCTAAAGCTACAAATGTGATCGACTGCTTATATAGTCATACATTCCCACACTACCTGTGCACTAAGCTAGCTTCATAAAGAGAAAACGGAGGATGCATGGTGCAAGCTTCAGTGTAGGCTGCACAAGCCTTGCCAACTCCACTGGATAGATACTTGTTTGTGCAGCTCTGTGGTGACATCTGCACTGCTATTTCTAGTGGACTAGCTAGAGTACAGCAGGGTCTGTCTACATTAACTGCAAATCACGCCTGCAGCTGCAGTGTAGACAAACCTTTGGGCTATGTCTAGACCAGTGGTCCCCAGTGCGGTGCCCGCGGGTGCAATGGCGCCCGCCGGGGCATTTATGTGTGCCCGCTGAAACATCTGGGCTGGCCCCACCCCCAGCGCGTGGCACATGCATGGTGCCAGCCCTGGGCGCGTGGCGCATGGGCGGCCCCACCCCCAGAAGCGTGGTGTGTGAGCGGCCCCGCCTCCGAACACCACCCCTGGGCACCTGGCAGCCACGAAAAGTTGGGGACCACTGGTCTAGACTGCCCCCTTTTGCACAAAAAAAGATACAAATGAGATGAAGTGTGGAATATCGCTGTGCCTCATTTGGACAATTAATGAGCGGCTGCTTTTTGCACAACAGGCTTTTGAACAAAAAGGAGCTGTCTACACATCTCCTTTTTGTACAAAATCCCCTCTTGCGCAAGAGCCATTCTTCCACTTTTTTTCAGGAAGACATGCTCCTTTTTGCACAAAAGCCTGTTGCACAAAAAGCAGCCGCTCATTAATGATGCAAATGAGGTGTGGCAATATTCCATGCTTTGCCTCATTTGCATATTTATTGTGAAAAACAGCATAGTACAGATGTAGCCCTGGAGTTTAACAGCTAAAATCTACAAAGATTCTGTCCATGCTGAGCACTGCTTTTTCCACAATTACAGCTCTGGTTGCTGTGCTCCATGGAGGGCCAGGCACTAGACATAAAAACAGGAAGATTAACTTCCCTTTTCTCAAAATGCACCCCCTACTAAATCCAGTCAGTATGGTAATGGAAGGTGCCTGATATGAATACAGAGAGTAATAAAGGCAGCCCAGCAATGGAAGTAAAGAGTGGGACAAGGAATCTGGAGATGGAGATTGGGACTGTAGGCTGATGGGAGGGGGGTTGGAGGAAAACTGGGACTACAAATTGGGGGAAGTGACTGAGACAGGTTGGGCACAGACACTGGGAACCAGGCGGTTGGGGGCAGGAAAGACAGATATAAGAGGCCAGGATATAGAGGTAAAACTGGGACCAGCTGGGCAAACAGACTAGGATAAGGAGCTGGAATATGTAGGGACACGGATAGAGAGCTCTGCAAATTTATGGATATTCGCGGGTATCTGCACCTGCAGACATGGATGAGGATTACTGCAGCTCATTTTTGTGGCTGTGAATACAAATTTTGTATCTAGAACCCTGACAATTTGCAGATATCCACTTTATATCTTCAGGTATCTTCAGCCACAAATGTGGAGGCAGATATCTGCAACTCATTTTTACAGATACGGATACACATACCAATTTTTTATCTGTGCAGAGCTCTAGATATTGAGATTAGTACACTCACCAAATGTGTGGGAGACCCACATCCAGCTTCCCTGCTCCAATGACTAATGATTTATCCAGGGCACAATAGCTTCAACAGGAGAGTATGAGGGAGCCCCACATGAAAATATCCCATCACTCAAAGTTTAGAGCACTCACTTCAAAAGTGGGAGATCCCTGATCTAGTTTCTCTCACCCATTAAAAATTTAATGACTCTCTGGCAGAGAGGGATCAACTGAACCTGAGTCTCCCAGGTGAATGCCCTAACTATTGATCTAAAAGTTAGAAGGTGGGCACCACAACCAGAAACATCTTCTTGCTAACACAGCATAAGGCATCTAATTCTAAAGGGGATTCCTGACTTCAGAATTGCAAGTAAGCATCTATTTCAATGAGAGGAGCAGGGCTTAGCACATGCCCCTCTTGTCAGCATCTCTCACTGGCTAGCTTAAGCACCTCATGTCTTGTGTGGTGGCTTTTGTAAACTGCACTCTAAGGTAGAGATCTGCAGCAGAACTTGGATCCCACAGGTCTTGACGGACACACTGCGATAATAGTGGGAATGAGTGAAATGTAGTTTGTTGGTGGTGCGATTGGATGGGAAAAAAGAGACCGTGGTAATATGTGGCAAAATACTAAATCTCTCAATTAGCTTACCATAAACAGAATTTCAGCAATGTAAGCAAGCTTTTCTTTATTTAAAAAAATAAAGGTTTTTATACTGAAATGTAAGTGACGCATGGGAAAAAATTTAATGACTATTATTACAATAGTCAAAGGCTACGTCTACACTGGCCCCTCTTCCGGAAGGGGCATGTAAATTTCAGCAGTCGTCGTAGGGAAATCCGCGGGGGATTTAAATATCCCCCGCGGCATTTAAATAAAAATGTCCGCCGCTTTTTTCCGGCTTTTAAAAAAGCCGGAAAAGAGCGTCTAGACTGGCCCCGATCCTCCGGAAAAAGTGCCCTTTTCCGGAGGGTCTTATTCCTACTTCAAAGGAGGCTGAGGGAGTTGGGTCTGTTTAGTCTGGAGAAGCGGCTCTTATTCCTACTTTGAATAAGTAGGAATAAGAGCCTCCGGAAAAGGGCACTTTTTCCGGTGGATCGGGGCCAGTCTAGACGCTCTTTTCCGGCTTTTTTAAAAGCCGGAAAAAAGCGGCGGACATTTTTATTTAAATGCCGCGGGGGATATTTAAATCCCCCGCGGATTTCCCTACGACGACTGCTGAAATTTACATGCCCCTTCCGGAAGAGGGGCCAGTGTAGACGTAGCCAAAGTGTTCTTAAATGGTTTAAGCAAGATATCTTTTATTGTTTTAGTGGCAAAAATTGTGCCTGAATTCTGTGGTGTATCTACTATATATTTGAGAGAGTCTGTGCATGTGCCTGTCTGTCTGTCCATCTGCAAGACTGCTCACGAACTCCTCCTAAATGGTAAGAGCTAGTGCCACCAACTTTGGCATGCAGCTTCCTCTTAGCATAACTGAAAGCAAGGTAAAGGTTTGGTTGTGTCAGGACAATGGGACAGTGCCTGGAATTTGATTCTCTCTCATAAAATGGAAATGGAATGGTCTGGCAGGAGGAACAGTTATACTGTGGAAAGAGCACAGGTGCAAGCAAGCACAGGGGAACTTTATCCCCCAGTCCCAGTGGCAGCCAGGGAGCTCTAGCCCAGGCTGCAGAGCATTGGTCCCCTCCCTCCGCCCCGGCTGCAGCGCTCCAGTCCCAGCTGTGGAGCCAGGCAGCTGCGGGGCTTTGCCCTAGCTGCAGAGCTCTGGCTCTGGCGCTCCGGCCCGGCAGCAGCAGAGCTGGGGAGAGCCCCGGGGGGCTAAGGCAGCAGCAGGGGCAGTCTAGAGCCCTAGCCTGGTGGTAGCATGGCCACGACGGGAGGGACCTTCCCTTGTCTGGCAAATCCCCTGGTTTGGGACCAGTCAGGTCCTAGGATGCTGGACCAGCGAGGTTCAACCTGTATTTACTTTCAAAGAGCACTGCACCAAAGAATTCAGTGTTTCTACTCACATTTTCCCAGCTAACTCAATGTTCCTTTTGCAGAAATCCAGCTTGATGACAACCTCTGTTTTTTTGTGCACCGTTTCTTTGTAGTCCTGCTTGATTATTTCACTGGAAAGTATAACATCAGTGTATCAAGAAAAATCTTCATTTCCTTCTTATCACATATCTTTGCCTCCAGTAATATTCACTGGTAGTGGAGACTAACATTTTCCTACTATTGTCATATAAAGTGTGATTCCAATGTTCTGGCAGACATTACTTCAGTAATATAGTATATAGTTCAATAGCTAGAGAGATTTTCATAACCCTATTAACAAACAACATGAACTACCAAAATCATTATTTAAAAATGTGATAGTCACTAATTAGTTATCCTTGCTGGGTCTCACGTTCCAACACAATACTAAAGTTAAAATTATCCAAACTGCTGTAGGAGCAGATTAAATAACATGGATACATAGGATCTAGCATAGGGGCAGAAAGCAGGTCTTCAGAGTTTCTCTTGATAAGGGAGGACGAGGAAACATTTCAGAGACTGTAAAAATCTACTCATGCTCATGTTCAAGGGGAAGGAAGGAAGTTTCAGAAGTCACAGTATGCTCACAAAACGATGAAAGGTGTGAATGACCAGAACAAGGTTTGGTAAAGAAACCATGCTCAGCAAAATTAAAATCACTTACATTAACCATCGTATTCCTTTTCGCATCAATTCCTGGTAAAGCAGCAAAGCACTGGCAACTCTACAGGCATGACATACAACACCTGTTACTGACTGATGGAGAGAGAAATAAACAAATGTCAGTACTATTTCTGTGCTCAAAGTTGTAGTTTGTTTCAAGTCAATGGATCACAATAAAGCAACATTAATATTAGAAGTAATTAGAATATGAAGATTGTAACACAAATTATCCATAAATTAGCCTATATTGGGGGAATCCACATACTTACTATGGCAGCATAATTAAAGCAAAAATGAGTTTTCCATTACACTGAAGTTCCATTACACTGTCTTCATTAGTCATGAAAATAAATCTGTCATTATCAAGGTTATACCCACATACTCTTAGAGTGCAGATTTAATTTTATGAAAAGTTACATGTAAATGTGTTCAGTAGTTTAGGAATTTAAATGAAAAAAAACCAACATACTACATTTTCAAAATTGTAGGGCTGCAGTCCAATTTTTTGGTCTCCACCCAATTCTGCATACATAGTTTGTTTTAACACTTGTTATTCTAGGTAGATGTACAGCTAAACACAGTCTCAAGCAGAAGCTAGTTTAATCATATCAATAACTCTGACTTAAAATTTAATTATAAGTTATTAATTATGTTATGGACTATGATGAATACATTTTCAAATATCAGTAATTTGAAAGATGTTAGGAAGCCTACAGGAAGAAATACATTTGGAGTTCCCCTTTTTGCACACTTTGGAGATGCACTTGAACAGACAACAGGACTATGTTTTTTTGTTTCAGCTACACTAGACTAACATGGCTACATTTCTATCACTATTGCACATGAACAGAGATCTTCAAAGGAGCACAACAGGAGTTACTTGAACAAAACAGATTCAAAATAAGGCCTGAAAGTGGAGTCTCTGCTACTTTTCTCCTATGGAGCTTTGTCAGGCAGGGGAGATTGGGAAATGCTAAAGGAAAGAAACATCAGAGATTTTACTCTTCTGCAGATTTTACTCTTCTTTTACTCTTCCTAAGTATACCAAAATAGCTATTCCACATCTTTAAAGCAGCCTTTTATTTCAAAACAGATTTTGAAATAACGGGGGCACTATTCCGGCATCCCTGTAAACCTTGTTCCACAAGGGTTAAGGGATGTTTTGGAATACCGCTTTATTTTGAGGTAAGGGTGCAGTCTAGATTCACCCTAAGACTCTTCTCTGCTGCAGAGTTCAGGAAAGATGCTCCTTATTTCTCCCGTGTGATGCTAAGCAGGAGAAGATAGTTTCAGAGCTGCTTCTTCTCTTCAGCTAATCTTAGGTCAACTGTGCACATTAACTCAATATGAAATATTATGCACAATTATTTATGAAGTTAACGTTTGTTGTTAATATTAAATCTTTAAATAAAAATCAGAACTTTTCAAATTAAAAACTTCTATAACAAAGTTATCTAAACTGTAGTGTTTAAAATTATTTTTGTATAGAGCTAGAAGATTTTCTGCAATAACCTTAAATTTTAGTTATTTTTATTTTATCTGGGATAACAGTTCATGAAAACCACCAGTTAACAGATTTTGTACTGCTTAATATTTATTTAAACCTGCTATTGACTGTCATGCATCGCATATTATAGCAAATGTTTCTTTAAAACTAAAGGGGGAAGATAGGAAAACATTTTCTTTCAGGGTAAACTAACTCAACTTGTATAACAATGGTTTACAACCTGAAATCCACAGACTGTGGCCTCGTCTATACTTACCCTCTGTCATCGATCTAATCTATGTGACTTCAGCTATGCACATAGCATAGCTAAAATCTTCAAAAATAAGGAGTGAGCCACATGAAAGGCCCTCCTTCACCTTAGTGGGCTGCAGCAACCTGCGGTCCATTGAGGTTCCACCTGTCTGTTCCTCTCCCCTGCACGCTTCTCATGCACTGGGCATCGAAGCCCCAGACTTCCTACACCTCCCCCTTCCCTTCCAGCAGTTTCAGAGCATGCAAATCACTTGATTCACTCACCATCCTTGCTCCTCCCGCTCCCTTCTAGAACCAGAATGCCTTCAAAGCATTTTATTATCACTAACCATTTAAGACTGAGAAAGTGCTCATATAGAGTTGTCATTTGATACTGCTAAACCCATATATTTATAAAAGCAATTCCCATTTCAAAACAAACAAACAAGATGGCTTTATTTAATTCAATATTAGGTACCTTTATTTTATTTGAGATAGCAATTTAATTCTAGTCTAATTAAGTAAATACTCACTTTAGCGATACTGGCATCATTATCCAAGTCATACCGCTGATGTACTTTAGGAAGTGAAACTGAAATATAAGAGATGGATTTTTATTTGATATGTCATATGTCATAAGTCTTTAATATATTAGTGAATACGCAATATACATTTTGGATTAGAAATATTTATTTTGTGTGTTCAGTGAAACATCTTAAATATAAGAAGAACTGCTGCTGTTAACAGACTAGGAAGATTAATCAGATTGAAAAACACTTGAATTTCCAGTTATTACTGGAAAATAGAGCAAGATTAGTTAGGAATATTATTTTATAAACTTGTGGTTCACAAAAAGATTTTACAAAAAGATTTTAGAATTCTATGCTCATTACTAAATCCTACCTATATTAATGTGCAGGAACCAGGACTTTTTAAAAAATGGTTTAAAATTAAAGTTTTAAATCCATAGTTAGGCATCAGAATAAATGACCTGATATTTTAGAGTACTGGGCACTCATAAGCATCTATTGATGTCCATCTATTGAGGTAAAGGATACTCAGCACTTAGGAAAATCAGGACTCTTCAGGGTGCCTACATATGGACAAACGTTTGATTCAAGATTTTTATACATTTATCAGAGGTCAAAAATATTCAGTAACCAAAGCTATTTTCAAAGAACATTTATGCCTAATCTTGTTTATTTAAGAACAGATGGAAAAGACTAACATACTTTCTTCGTAGATTAATCCTATGATGTTCATAGCCTCTCTGCTTACTATAATTATAGGATTTTCTTCAGTGGTTTTGGGAAAATGTTGTACCAGTCTTCCAGGCTCTAGTACTAAATGGCGACCTTCATATATCAATTCTTGGTTCTGAGAAGTTATTTTTGTCTGTTTGTAGACTAATTCATGAAATATGGCAGCTCTGTAAAAAAAAAATATACTTAGCAAACAATTAAATCAAATTCACTAAAATGCAACAGGACTCAAACAAGTTATAGATTTTTTAAAATATACCTTTTATATTTAGTAAATTAAGTTTTTTTCCTATCTAAATTATTAGATGTATACAAATAATAAATGGTGCACATTCTAGCTAGGGCACTGGGTGCATTTACATAAATTACAAAATAAAATTAGATTGCTTGCAGAACACCAAACTCCCCTCCACACATCCAGTTTCTCTCAAAAGCCAATCTATGCAACAGTTTTCAGACATAAAAATACAATCTTCCAAAGGTATCTTGCTTTCATCTGTACTATGCTTAATTCCATTGTTTCCCCTTTAAACAGATTTTTTATTTTTAAAAGCCCAGATTTTACAAAAAGAAAATGTGCTTGTAGACAGGCCTGAGAAAATTAAGTCAGCAACTGGTCATTCAAATAACCTGGAAAGGTATGCAAGGAAATTTGCCTTTGGAAATAAGAAAACTGTTGTGGGAAAATGTTACAGAAAGAGACACAATAACATGATGGAAATTGCTAAATTTTACCCTAAACAAAGGTTAAATGGTTCTACAAGCTTATGTAGTAACTGTACACTGTAGCCTAACTACTGATATCTATCCAGTGGTGCCTATGTATTCCACTGATTAACATTTCTGGACATATAAAGAAAACTAACAATGGAAAACGACTGACATATTTCAGTGTGTGACCCATGAAAATTTGGGATCACCATTTACAAGAAAAGGATGAACGTTTCTAAGTAAAAGACAAAGGAACCCAAAGATACATGTTTGCTATATTCGCTGAACAAAAGTCAGCTGTTGTATATACAGAAAGGGGATGTGTTTGTGAGAAGTCATTTTCCAATTGTAGTAGTAGATGATAAGGAACTGTTTTTATGACTCATTTAGTTAATAGACATTTTTGCAACATTACAAAGATTAACAGTTGTGATTTTGAATACTGTATACCTATATGGACTATAAACTACTTGAAGTTTAATCCACAATTATATCACAATGTAACGCCTGTAACCTTAGGCATGAATATGGCTATGAGAAGAAAACTGTTAAACCATCCTATGTTACTTTCACATTTACAGTATATTGCACAGGCAGGAGAACAAATACATGTTGAAATGCAATGTGATAATACGGAAATCACTCATGTACTAAAAACTTTTGCAGATGCAGGATAACACTCCTGGTGGGTAACATTATTAGGGTGGTCGCCTTCTGCTACCGGTGTGCTAAATATAATGGTTCACCCCATTCTAGTGATCAGTGGAATCCAATTGGCTATATTAGTGAGTATAATTGCTTTGGCTTGCTGGATGAAGAGAACTATTCGAAGGATACAGGAAGCTGGCATGGAAAGTCAAATAAGGACCTTGTTAATAATACCCAGGAGACAAGACCAAACTCAGCAAGTCTGAGTATTGGACTCTTGCAATGACAATGACAGCTTTAGTAAAAGCATCATTAAGGAGGGGAATGTAACAATATGGTTTTTCTGTACTCATAATGGAAGGCCTAAAGCCTTCCTCAGTAGCCAGATTGAAGAGCAGCAGCCAGTAGCTTGTAAATCTTGAAGTCACATACTCAAGATTCTACCTAAATTGCATTAAAATAGTTTCACACCAGGCTGTTAAGAAGGAGTCCCTATCCTAATGGCACCCATTGTCACCAGATAAAGAACCAGATTTCAAGATGAGTAACTTAGTTAACAGTGATAGAAATGTAGCCGTGTTAGTCTGGTGTAGCTGAAACAAAATACAGGACTATGTAGCACTTTAAAGACTAACAAGATGGTTTATTAGATGATGAGCTTTCGTGGGCCAGACCCACTTCCTCAGATCAAATAGTGGAAGAAAATAGTCACAACCATATATACCAAAGGATACAATTAAAAAAATGAACACATATAAAAAGGACAAATCACATTTCAGAACAGAAGGGAGATGCGGGGGGGGGGAAGGTAAATGTCTGTGAGTTAATGATATTAGAGGTGATAATTGGGGAAGCTATCTTTGTAATAGGTAAGGCAGTTGGGGTCTTTGTTCAGCCCCCCGCGGAGAGTGTCGAATTTTAGCATGAATGGTGAAGTGAATCAATGCCTACAAAACAGACATTAGACAGGATCACAAAGAAAAAACAGTTTCTTTCCATTTCAACCAGAAAGGACACTGTCTCAATGACCTAATCACATGCATCCTACTCCAGAAGACTTTCAAATCTGCACTTGAAAGGGAATCCTCTGAACTGTCATTCATGCTGAAATTCGACACTCTCCGTGGGGGGCTGAACAAAGACCCCAACTGCCTTACCTATTACAAAGATAGCTTCCCCAATTATCACCTCTAATATCATTAACTCACAGACATTTACCTTCCTTCCTCCCCCTCCCCCCCGCATTCCCCTTCTGTTCTGAAATGTGATTTGTCCTTTTCATATGTATTCATTTTTTTTAATTGTATCCTTTGGTATATATGGTTGTGACTATTTTCTTCCATTATTTGATCTGAGGAAGTGGGTCTGGCCCACGAAAGCTCATCATCTAATAAACCATCTTGTTAGTCTTTAAAGTGCTACATAGTCCTGTATTTTGTTTTAGTTAACAGCATTTTGTCAGGCAAGAAACTGTTTATCAGTAGTTGAGGTTGTGGAATTTTCATTCTATAATTATGGTCCTCTCTTTCCTATTGTTTGTCTGAATGGTCTCTGGTTTTTTAATTTTTTCGGTCTTCTGTATAATTAATTTTGCTAGGTGTAAATCAGCTAAGGTGGTGGGGTATGATTGGTTAGGTAATTCTGTTACTGTAGGTTATGACTGGTTAGTAAAATTATAATTAGTTAAGGTATAGCTAAGCAGGACTCAGGCTTCATTATATAACCTGGGGTCCAAACAGAAGTTCTTTGGGAACCAAATCAAGGACACAGCTCCAAGCTCAGAGCTGCCAGACCTCAACCCTGTGCCAATGACACTGTGCTGAAACTGGAGTCCTTCAGATGGATCTGATCCTGACTGGCCATCAAGACAAGTTCATCTGTCTTATTGGGAGTGGTGAGCACTCTATGCCTGGTGCGTGCCTCTGTTTTTAATGATTGTTAATACATACAGATGAAATAGGATATTACTGTGTAAGGCTCTTTCACTCGTAAAAGACCCCACAAACCCACAAAGTGTAAGGTTATGCCTAACCATGCAGAAGGGTAAGGGTGGGTGCCCCTAGAGAATATGCCAATTTTTCTGTAGGTAACACAGGGGCCAGCGGTGGCCCTCAGCTTGCCTGGATCTTCCCCCTTAGGCTCAGGGCTCTCCCACCCCCAGCATTAGGGAGCCTGCACAGGTGCTCCATCCCCCTGCCTGCGGGGCTGGAGTACACAAAATCTACTAGCCTTGGCCCCACTGGGTTCTGATGTGCAAGGGGAGTGTGGGGAGGGTCTTCCTTCTTTCTCAGTCGGCAGATTTTTTGCTTCTGACTGATTTTTTTGTGGGTTAGTGGCCCCCGCCCCCAAAAAGGGCTGTTATATCAAACCCAGGTCTGCTAACAGGGGGTAGAGAAGGAGGCAATTGCTCTGAGACCCGCTGATTCACAAGGGGCCTTACTGCAGTGGCCAAAGCCCTGGGCCTTTTAAATCACTGCTGGAGTGCTGCACCATGTGTTTCAGATGGCTCTAAGGACTGGTGGGGGCCACAGAGCGGTGCGGGGACATGGATTTGGGTCCTCTCCTCCTTGGCCAGGGGCCTAGGAAGCCTTAAAAATATCTGAAATTGAAAAAAGTCCCTATCCTGAAGAGTTTACATTTTGTCTCTTGTACATCATCAGTATGTTTTGACAATAAGGCCTATACTGAAAAAAAAATCGGAATACAAATCAGAAAAGCAATCTAAGAAATGGCAAGTCTGATCAAGGAGAAACATTACAAAAGATTCCTGTGACAGAGTCAGGCCCGCCAACAGGGAAGGGAAAAGGGGCAATTGCCCTGGGGCCTGGTGATTCTAAGGGTCTCGGGGCTCCCGACTGCTACTGTGGCAGCGACCTAACCCGAGGTCCTTTATAATTGTTGCCAGAGCACCAGGTAGCTCCCCTGGACAGAGTTCTGTGAATAAAACAGCTGAGCCACCAGTCTGAGCACTTAAATATCAGTTAGTGCCCTCTGAATGGACCTGACCATGTTTTATGAGTGGATTAAAATGAACTGGGAGTGGACTAATGACTAAGAAGGATCTCTGGGTAGAGATATGTCTCCACAACAGAGGGATAATGTATGTGTAATATGATGTATAGATCACTAAGGATGTATGGATCACCAAGGGTGATGAAAAAAGCAATGTAAATAAACTATATGATGCTGAATAACAACTGAAGGTCTCCAAATAGTCTGTGTAGACACTGCAGAAGACGAG